GATCGCTGTGGTGGTGGTGGTGTGCCGGCAGAGTTCGGTGGTACATCTTGGCAGACGCCAGCCGGGAGGGATGGGTGTTCGTGTTCGCATCCAGCAGATTGCGCATGGGGAGTATGTGAAGCGAGCAAATCGGGAGCAGTCATGTCCGTGGGCGACCCTACAAGCGGTGTGGTTGCAGCTGCTCGGAAATAGTGCTCTGGATCACAATGGTTCCTGCGGCAACACTGACACGACGGCCACGAGTGTACCCAGCAGGCGGGCCGCCAGCGTCATGTCCACCATGCCCGGTTGCCGTGCTGGACGCAATGCTATCCGTGGAATCCGTCGCCGTGCATCCGTGCTCGCCGTGCACGCGGCGGGTATCGATGACCCGATCCCAGTTGCTGGCGATAATGCAGCACCCGCAGATCCGTGCACCGGACTTGCCACCACGGACTGATACGCCGACGGGGCCTCTGTCTCATCCCCAGCGGCATGCGCGTGCTCTGCTGCAGCCGCCCCCTTCGCCAAGACGCCCTTTGCATCTTGTCCCGCTCACGAATCTGCTCCCAAGACGCCCGGTTTACCGCCAGCTGATCCAAGTACAGCTCTGTCCCCGGAAGCACATCGGCAAGCAGCACGAAAAACGGATGAATAATCACGTCCGAAAAATCCATGGACACCTTTGCTTGCTGGCAATTGCGCCTGTCCATGTTTGGCGACGACAGGGCCAATCCAAGTGCAAGCTCGGCATCGCCCTGCGCAAAATGTTCCTTTTCGACCAAGTCGGACCACCGCTTGCACAAGTCCCAAGGGCGAACCGTGTTTGAAATGTCGGCCGCGTGCAGAAGGCATTTGACGAGGTTTCTTCGCTGCGGAGCAGTGAGCAGTTGGACAGTGGCGAGAGCGTCCGATTGTGCGCCAGTCGCAGGGCCTGACAAATCGACTTTCGAAGAGACGGCATGTGTGTGATCGTCCGAGCTGGAGTTCGGGGCGTCGTATGCGGACTGCACGAGCGGGGCCCATGGGAGTTGGATGGAAGGGGAGAGCACATTTGTGGATGCGACAGTAAATCCCAACTTGTGTCTGGGCGACAAGGCGGCTTGTGCATCATCTTGGTTTTGCGAAGAAAAGGTTGCCGACTTGCTGCTTGACATCCTCCGCGCTGTTGGTTCGGGAAACGTGACGGATGCGGACAATGGCATGGTGGGCACAAGTGGTGCAGTATGCGTCGTTTCCGTGCCAGACGCGCTTATCGATGGCCCCGCGGACATTGATGGGGCTGGCGAAGCACGGACCATTCGATCCAAGGCCTTGGCAACTGACTGCGAGAGCATCACGGGAGGATCCCGCTGTGTCGCAGCTGGAGCAATGGTAATCTCTGGCCGACCATCGCCACTCAACGACCCAGCTGACACTTGCTGCTCCTCCTCTGCCAGCGTCACCAAATGATCCGCGTGCAGCAGCTGCCGCGACAACTCGCCGAGATCCTTGACGAGCGCAAAATGCTTGCTCATGTCTGTACCGAGAATGAGGTCCGTAAACATGTCAATGAACACGTCGCGGGTCGCGCCAGACATGTGTGCGAGGAGGCCGTGCTGGAGCATTAGGTCGCGACCAAGGTCCACAGAGTAGTTTTCGAGCACGGATTGGTTGTGATAGCGAGCGGCGAGCGAGTGCTTGGTGTTGATCATGAATGTGTTGTTTTTGCCTGGATGGCCGAGGTCATGGCACAACGCAGCGAAGAAGACGGCAGTTTGCTCGAGGTCTGTGACAAGGTCTGCGGCGTGCAGGTTGACAAAGGTGAAGAAGCACATGAAGGTGACGTCCACAGCGTGGGCGAATGAGTGGTATGGGTTGGGCAAGTACACTAGTACACGCAGAGAGAATCAATCAGACTGCGGTCGTTGAAAAAATTGGCGTATGGAGGTGGACTTGAAAAGAAACGACGCACAAGAGTCTACAGCAACCGCCCAATCCAACAACTGATCCAGAGTGATTCTCAACAAGACTGGAATCCGTAATCGTCGCGCCATTGCCAGCACCAAACCAAACTGCTCGAATCGATCCATGTCGAGAATGCCAAGGCCAAATTGCATGATGCTGTCGCCAATTGCGAAATGCCTTTCCAACGCCTGCTGCACGAGCTGGACTTGCTCGGGCGCAAGCAATTTGGACGACAGCGGCCCTACAATTGAAGCTGGATCTTCGTGAAGAGACACTGTGCCCCACGTGGGTATGGATGCAGCAAGCATTGAGTGCTGTCCATTGGGTGCACTTGACCCTCTCGGCGATTCTGTCGGGGCTGGACCATTGGCATGGAGTGATGCGGGTGCGGGATCGCATTTATAGTGCCGCGGGCTCTTGCCCTCGTGGTCTGGGGCGGATCATGTGCATGGGGTGGAGGTATTGGTGGGTTGATGCGAGTGCTTATCGACAGTCCTCGAGGTTTACGGGCCGAAGATATGGGCGAAGCCGGTTGCGTTGACGAGGGCGAATGCGAAGTGACGGACGTTGAGTGAACCGAAGGATTGCCGGTCGAGGGATGTCCTGATGGTGCATCAACTGATGGTAGCGGCGGCGGTGAGGGCGAGGCCGCTACGATAGGGTGTGCAGCGGCCATGGCAACAACCTGAGAATGTTGATGGGTTGGGATGCAGAATGATTCGAAGATCGCTAGGAAAGGGTAGGTTAAGTAACACAGGGGACCGAATTTCAATGATGGACAGCTGGCATTCAAGTTGAAGCATTGCACAGGCAAATTGCATAGTGTTACTCTCGATTTCGACTTGATTACCCTCGACTTCATTTCCGAGCAAGAGAGACTGAAGATAGTTGTCCACGTCGGGGCGTGGTGCGAACAGTGACCATGTCATACATCGCTCGCACCATTTCTTCTCAGCCTCATTGGGGAGATGAACAAGGATTCCATTTTGCCACGAATCCTGGTGCATGCGCTATTGCATTCTCCAGTTGGCTCCCCCCAGCATTTCCTTGCTCTGGTGGCCTCTTTGGTTACTTCCTCAACCCGCTGCGTGAACCGATATGACCTATTGCACAATCATGTTTCTTTTGCATAGGTTACATTTCACACTGGCCGCAAACACAATTCCCGGCAGCACTCCTCACCGACCATATGGGGTCGACTTCTTGGGTTTGTCGTTCCCCGCCCCACGGAATGCTTTGCTGGCCGCGGCAACAGACGAGCTCGATGCTGGGACGACCTCGGCGGGAGATAGGGTCGCATTCGCAGGAATCACTTGCGGCGCACTGGGTGAGGGCTGCCACAAACTCAGGCGTGAATCTTCTCCACCGGTGATGAGCGACCCAGTCGCAATATCCATGGAAAAGGTCGGATCACGTCCGAATGTGCATGGCCAGCAGAAAAGCACAGCTGGAGCTCGTTCATGGTGACGTGAAGAATGGAGAGTGCACCCCTGTCACAGTAAAGTCCCGTTTAGTCTCAAGGAAATGGAAAAACAAGTGTGGTTGACAAATAGCAAAGAACATACTCATGCGACCCAGTCACCAAATACAACCGCTGGCTCGCCTCATCATACTTGAATCCGACCGCATAATTGATGGGCACCTCCTCGGACGAATACTGCCGAACGTCGCCGAAATCCTTGACCAAGTCGCCCTCGCCAGACCACAACATCACCGTCTCGGTATGCGTCGTCATCCACACATACTCGCCCGTGGGTCCAAACCAGCCCAGCTTGTGCACCGACGACCCACTCTGCATCGAGCCAACCAAATCCTCGTCCTCGTCCCAAGTGTTGAGATCAAACACACATGCAATCCCGTCGGTCGATCCGGAAAGCAGCCGGTTGCCCACCGTTGGATGAAACGCAAGCTGGGTCACATCGTCGGCGAGCGACTCTGTGAATGAATGTTGCAGTGCCGGAGCCCGCAAGTCGTAGAAGTGAATGAAGGCTCCATCACTGACTAGCTCAGTACCAGTAGCCAAGAGGCTGGCGGACGGCGACAGCGAAAGTGAAAGGAGAGAATGGCGGTTTGGAGCTGGCAATTTATTGCAGGGCAGGTTATAGACTTGCTGTCATGAACAAAAAGAAGTGTATCAAACGTACCGGACCAGGTTGATACGGGTGCAGCAGGTGCGCGGAGATCCCAGCAATGAGTCTTGCCGTCTTGAGCAGCCGAAAACAAGAGATTGGCGTCATTTGGGTGGAATTGAATCGCCGAAATGGTGTTGGTGTGTCCCGTCTACTGAGATTGAAAGCCAACATTACCGGTCAACGGCTATCGTTGTCCCGCACAGGTACTTGGCAAGCGCACAGACGGAAAGGACGGACCAGGCATCCTTGAAGCGATAACTGAGCATCATATATTTTGATTTGGTGGTTGGACGCCGAGACTGCAACCGCAGAGGCCGTCGTCGCAACGTCAAAGATGTATTCGCCGTCGACCGTAAACAGGACCTCTTTGGCCTTGGCCAAGGGCGGGATCAGCTGGACAAGGCCCAAAGGAGACTTGACTGGAGTAGGTGCATCGAAATCCATCGTGAATGACATTTTTGATGCAGTAAATATACAGACTTGATTAGAAATTTCATCGTATGTTCTGAGCCCTCACTTCGAGATCAGAGGCAGTCAGCTGCAGTTGTACAAGTCACATTGATTCATGTGATGATCATCCAACGCCTTTTCATCCTTGACTTGTCCCACTGCATGTAAGCGAGTCCCCCCCCCCCCCCCCCCCATGGCGCCCGGCCGGCCACCTCCACCTCAAGGCTCGCACACACATGCAGACTGACTTTCCTGCATATTCATAAGTATGTACATCCTTCCCCATGTCCCATGTCCTTCGAATTCCGGCCGCGAGCAATCCTCGGCTGCTTGACATCTTCCAGTCGGTCATTCTGGGCTATACGTCGATGGCTCACTCAACGGGATGAAAAAAAAAAAAAAAAAAGCTCGAGCGACCGTCCATGGCCATGTCCAAAAAGACGGCCCAAATCACGCAAGATTTCTCAGCGAAGGGATGCGTGTGTGCGCAAATGCTCCAGGCGGGGCTCGAACCCGCAACCTCCGCGTGGCTGTGCTTCCGTCATATGAAGAACGTTCATATAAGCACGGCGCTCTAACCGATTGAGCTACTGGAGCTTCCACTCAAGTTGACCCGAGTTTTGAGAGGTGACGACCATGAAAGCCATCACGATTCGCGAGCACGGTAAGCTCAACCAAGATGCGGATGCACACGCTCGCTCGACATCTGCTCGGTGGCGTCTTTGCTCTGCGGCTGTCTCTTGGCTCAGTGAATCATGTGTACAGATACAATTCATCGCAGGTCACGGCCACGCTGGGAGCAGGTTTCCCTGCTGGGAGAAGAGACAGAGGCGCAGTCGGCTGATTTTTATTCCAGTTGGTATACATCTTGCTCGCAGTCGAGTGTTGTCTCTATGTTTTCAGATGGCCATGTCGACGAACTCGAAGCAATTCCTCTCAAGTGAATGAAAGACATCATGTCCGAACCTACGACCGTCTTACCGCCGCCACCGCCCCTCGCCGTGGCCGCCTCTGTCCGCGACTTTGCAAATGCGACGATCGCTGCCCCCGCGTTTGGACACTCAACGGCGGTGCCAACATCCGGTTCTCTGAAAGGGACCGGCTCAAGTGACGATGTTGGATCGCGGCCGCTGTTTGACGATCTCGTTGGTGTGCGTTGCCCATTACCCTCTCAAATGACGATGGGACTTGAGATTGCAGGCTCACGCGAGCAATCCCTCGAACTCGTTCAGTAGCTGGTGACATTTTACGTCAACGCAACGCAGACCTCGCCATCACAGTGTACCAACGTTCGCTGCTTCCACATCGGCCCAATCGACGTCTTTCTCTACCCAGCAGCCCAGTCACGCATTGAAATCAACATCCCCATTCCTGCTGCACCGACACGGGGAGTTAACCCTCAGCATGTCTCCCTCGAACGATACCTTGACGAGCTCGACGGTTTCACGCGCCCTGACCCGCCAAACTTGGTGCCAGATGCCGACGACCCGATTCATAGACCGTCCATCATGCAAGCATTTGCCATTCCCCGCTTTTCACTTGGCTCGCCGCCCACCTCGGCGGTATCGCGAAGCGTGGAGCGTATTTTCACGGATCATCCTCATATTCGCACGCCATTGGCGCTGCTCGATGCTGGCGCGGTCGTCTTTGCAACGTATTCTGCGCTGCCGTCGTTGAACGACGTCATTGCATTTCATTCACACGAGCTGGACGCATTCAAGCTGCAATGGATTGCATATCAACTGGAGGAAGTGCTTGGTAAAGGGTTCAAGAGTGTGGGTTCGAGTTGGCCGCTCAAGGTGGATTTCCGTAACGTGTTTCTTGAGCAGGGGTGGTGGGTCAAGGTCCAACTGCCGCTATTGGTACCCGAAACCAGTCCCGTGAGCGATTCTACATCCTCCTTCACCATCACGCCCAGCACTGCCGGCGCCGATCCCAACCGCCAATCGTCGCCCGTGGACTTGATGGCGTTGCCCGACAGATCGCAATCTCCATTTCTCGCATGGTCCACCGGTCGACTCTCAACCTACGCCTACCTGCTTCACCTGAATCACCTCTCGGGCCGAACGCACCACTCGCTGCACACACACCCAATCATTCCCTGGCTCACCGACTTTTCGACCCACACGCCCGACGACCCCGCTGGCCTGCGCGACCTGACGCGCTCAAAGTACCGGTTGAAAAAGGGTGATGAGCAGCTCGACATGACATGGACCGCAGGCGACCAACCGCATCACATCACGGCGCTGCTCACCGACCTGTCCATGTGCATGCTCACGGCGCGCACGCTGCCACTCCCGATTCTTAAGCGCCATGTGCGCGAGCGGTTTGACCCAAAGGAAGTGCCGAGAGATGCCGCGGGCATGTATGCGTGGACCAGCGACGAGTGCGTCCCCGATTGGTTTGACAACGTGGCCGTGTTTGAGGCCCATCCCGACTTGGGGATCCCTGCGCTTGAGTTGCCGTCGTGGGCAAAGTCGCCGGCCGAGTTTGTCGCCAAGCATCGCGAGTTGCTCGAGTCAGATCTTGTGTCCAGCCGTATTCACGAGTGGATTGACCTCATGTTTGGCTATCGCTTGTCCGGACCTGCGGCCGTCGAGGCCAAAAATGTGGCCCTGCCGATTGTACATCCAACCTCGCCGTTTGTGAGCAGGCACCATGGGATCCGGCAAGTGTTTACCGTCCCGCATCCGAAACGGTTGACCAAGGAGTCGAGCGTGGAAGACTTTGAACGCACCATTCAGTTTGACGCCCTGTACTTCCGTGGAACGAGCACACCGGCAGAATTGAAGTTGCCGGCAGCGGTGCATCCAAGTTTGCCCCACCTGTACACATACGTGTTGGGTCTGCACTCACGGTTTGGGCTGGGCTCGAGCGGCGCTGTCAATGCGGGAACGAGTACGGCAAGCGCGTCCACGGCGATCCCGGCCAGTGCATCGGCGTCGGGTCCCTCGGCCTCTGGTGCGGCGTCGGCTATCTCGGCGGGATCCATGTGGCCGGCCGCGGCACTTGCGCCCGAAGCAATTGAGGTTGCCGTACATCACGCACGTCGTGTCATGTTCTTGCCCGATTTGATGGAGCGGGCATGGGTGCGGATGCATCAAGAGTTGTTTGAGCAGGTTTTTGGACCCATGATCGAGGCTACAGTGTTGGTCGGTCCCGCCGTCACGAGCGGCAAGTCAAGCGCGGCAGGTAGCGTCTCTTTGACGCTCGTGGCCAGGTACTTTGGGCCAGATCGCTTGATTCATCGAATGTGGGGGCGCATATCAAGGGCGATTGTCGAGTGGGATGCGAGCGTCCCGGCTGGCGCAAGTGGTGGTAATCTAGGAAATGGCTGCGTGGTGGTGGATGGACAGTTCATTGTTTCTCTCGCGTACGTTTCACTTTGCGGGATCATTGAGCGGAACATGGAAGGGTTGGCTAACATTACATCTTGGCTTGCACAGCATCATTCTTGGTCCGGTCCGTACACGTCTCCGCCTCTTCCCGCTCCTATCGCACCTGTTGCGCAAGCCGTCCGGAAACCACCCCCTGCTTTCCATCCTCCTGCAAGTCGGAAAGCACTTTGGGATCACCTTCATGCGCCAGCTCCTTGTCCCGTTTTTGACCCGTGAGGTTTTTCAAGTTGCACACTCGCCTTCACTCCTAGACAAGGCCGGCCAACTTCTCAACGGCATAGTGGAACGAATTGCCGCCTCGGTCCAAGTCGACTCCACTCTCTGCCAGGCGGTCGCACACATGCTCGAAGAAGCCGTGGGCAAGATGCATCCGGGATTGATTCTACTCGCGCTCGATCTCGCCGAGGTCGTGGTCAAGTATGCAGATCTGAGTGGCGCTGTATTTGCCGAATTGCTGCCTACGTTGACCATGCTTTGCGAGATTGCCGTTGGCGATAGCAATTCCCCTGTCGGCGGGCAGCAAATTGTGTTCATGGCCTACACGCTTGTGTGCTCGATTCTTGGGCATGAGCAAGTTCGCGCACAGTATGTGTGGGCGGCCGAGGCGGAACGGCGTGCATTCGGGAATGGTGTTGCCGAGGAACTGGGACAGAGAGGCAGTTCGGCGTCGGGAACCGCTTCGGTCGGTGTGCCGCAGGCCAAGGCTCATGTTGTTGATTTGGACATGACGCCGGCGTCACGGAGGTCGTCGTATCATGATTTGGTTGGATTGGGTGGCGCAGCTTTGAGCGGGCTCTTGGGGTTGCAACGACCACACTCCGTGGCCGGCTCGATACCACTTTCGATTGACGACCTGCGAGGGAGTCGGTCGTCCACAGCGAGCAGCATTGACTTGATGGCAACGAACCGAGCGAGTTTTGGCAGTGCCTCTCGTCCGCAGGTGCGAGTTGTCCAAGGGGATGATTACCACGCCCAGGTATGGAACCAGTCAAACGAGTTTCTCGCACGGCGGGTGTGGTCGTTTACAGGTATGCCTTACTTCCCATTAATTGAATCGCGTCTTGCTTCTCTGACATTCTTTCCCAGCACATGCAAACATCCAATGTGTCGGCCACCTCGAGTACTCCCGCCAGCTCATCACGGGCGGTCGTGACAAGACTGTCCGACTCTGGTATGCCACTTGCTCGCTTCTGCGGCTCATGGCCGTATGCTCATCAACAAGATTTGACAACAGGAACATTGACAACATCTTGCGGGACCCGGATCCAACACTTTCTTCCCCGCTCCAACCATCAATGTCCTACGCGCTGCATCAAGACTCGGTGACCGAGGTTTGCGGACTTGGCCCATATGTGCTTTCTTGCGATGGCGGGGTTCATGTCTGGGACGCTGAATCGGCTCAGTCTGTCGTTCAAGTCAAGAGTAAGCACGCGCTGAGCATGATCCAACCCTGGCAGGATGCAAGGTTGATTGTCGGTGCGGCGACTGGTCATGGCACCGTTTTGTGCGTTGCGGTTCCTTGCCACTTTTTGCATGCCTTTTCACTTTCTCACAAGCAGTTAAATAACAGCGTGGACGATTTGCGAACTCGGAGTGCACCAATTCACTTTGCCACCGGCTCGGGGTTCACCGGATCCATTACCGCAGTGGTTGTGTCGGCAAAATCATCCATTATTGCTGCCGGCTCGTCTCTTGGTTCCATCAGCGTGCTCGAAGTGCAAATGGGTACATTGCTTGCGGCGTGGCGAGCGCATGATACAGCGGTGTCCCATGTATGTCTTGTGCGAAGCCAATGCCTGGCTGTGGACTTCATGCAATGCTAATCAGGTATTTGTCGTCTGATTGTTGTAGCTCCTGTTTGCAAATGATGTGCTTGTGAGTGTCGCCCAAGGTGACAATGCTATTCATTGTTGGAGTGTGGCCACTTTTGCCCTGCAACGGGTGATTCGGGGTATGTTTCTATCTCCTTCATCTCGCTTTTTTTTTTTTTTTTTTTTTTTCTTCCTGACTCGTGATCACTTTACTGCGCATTTAGTAAATGGACTTGCCGACATTGCACACCTCCACGCACTCAACTCGTCCATGGTGCTGGCCATGGACTCGAACGGAACCATGTCAACGGTTTGTCTGGATCCGAGCGGCGGTGTCCAGCAGAGCCACCCTGTAGCAACCGCGATTAAGTGGAAACCGATATCGTCG